GTGGAGTGTAAATTACATCTCACATTATTTATGCTGTAAATATTGAACAAATTAATACTTTTTTGTTTTCTGTTTGATGTTGTTTATTGTTGCACACATCTTAAAGTTTATTAATAGATTGATATTTTATTTCAATATTTTTTTCCATAGTAATTGGATCTTTATTGAAATGAATTCAGAACACTCATTAGAAGAAAAGAAACCTGGAGTACAAAATACATCTCATGCGCCTACTGGAGGGTTAATTATTCTACATATGAGTACATAATAACGACCACTTTAATTCCGTTAGAAATTTGTCAACGAGCAATCTCAACTCATTGTCAGATAAACGAAAGAGAGACATAACAGACCCTAATGACGAGTAATTATTCACCTTGTATAAGTGTCACAACACCAAAATATATCCTACTACGAGAAGAATATATTACCTATACGAATTCAACATGTATTGACTTTTTACACAAAATTTCCCGTTTATTTTGTGTAAAATTTATGTAACGTTAGTTTATATTATAAATTTTTTCGGTAAAATGTGTATATATATGTACTTCCCGCTTTTTCTTTACATATTTCAAATGTGTATTAAGAAAATTTTAATAATTCTGTGTATCTTCCTAACAAAGCATAACTAAACTATAGATATAAATTGAAATATTAATAAAACTATTTTATTATTTTGTCAACTGTTTATTTATTCTTGTATATAAAGAATATATAAAAAATAAATAAAGAATATATAAAGAATATAAAATAATTTTACAAAATTAATTTATAAATCATTTATAAATTATATTTTTATAAAAAGATATAGATAATATTATAAATAATATAAATTAAAAATTATTGATATATATATAAATTAATATTAATTAATAAAAATTATTACAATTTGCTTTTTAATTAAGAAAGCGGAATTATACTATGTTAATATTTATGACGTAAGAAAGATAATTCTCTTTGACAAACACATTAACGAGACATAAAAGTTGACAGTAAGATAATAATTGAAAGATATAAAAATGTGTGTTAAATACGGAATGCATAAAGAGATTTATCGGTTTGTGATTCGCACAGATCAAAATTTATACATATATATATATGAATATCTGTTAACACATGTAACACACACACACACACACACCAGTAATGTTTTGTATAATTAATTAAAAATTAAAATTTAACGAAATTGGTATCCTTATATCGATAATTCTTATTGGTAAACCATTTTTTAAATCTATTTATATATATATATTTAATGTGTCTCATAAATTAGATTTGTAAATTAAATCGATAAAATAAAAATTTATAATAAACTAAAAAAAAATTGTAGAAAATTGCAACAGTAAATCTTTTATTTCAAGTGTGCAAAACTTTTTAAAACGATTAGTTTAATTTCTTACGCGTCAAACATTTTAAATAGAATCGTGTAAAGTATAAGATTGAGAAAAGGGCGGAAGAAATATTACGGGAAGATCAATTCGGGTTTAGACGAAATAGGGGAACGCGCGAAGCCTAGCTTTTTACGAGTAGCAATAGAGAAAATAATAGAAAAAGAACCCGTACATAGGTTTTGTAAATTTAGAAGAAATCGACAACGTAAAATGGAAAAAGATGTTCGAAATACTTAAAAATGTTGAGATGAAATATATCCAATATTACGTCATTTATTGGTCAACATGATGTCAAAATGATGTCGTTTTGACTGGAATGTGTTACTTGAATGGGGATAGAAAAGAGTGACACGCGCAATTTGTATAAAGAATAAATCATTTTTATAATTTTTGGATGTATATTACAATGTTACTACATAAGTTAGGTACTGGGATATATATTTATATTTGTTCAGATTAACATAAGTATAGTGAAACGAAACTCGCGAGCATAACAGATGTCAAATGTCAGATGATCAAGCTCCGTGCATTGCTACTTCGATGGACTGACCGTCTTGTGACGTTTTTTGACGAAAAATATATCAGTTGAAAATTTTTCCGTTTTTTAATTATGTGAAATTTGTCAATTTAATGGTCTATCCAGACAAACTTGCATAAGTACATAAGCATATGCACATACGTTATAAGAAAATGGATTGGTCCATTTCCTTATGCACATATATGAACCAATCAATTATCTTATGCTTATATTTATGCACTGTGTAAGTTTGTCTGGATAGAGCAATCTCAACTCACGTAAACGAAAGAGAGACATACCAGACGCTAATAACGAGTAATTATTCACCTTGCATAAGTGACACAACACAAAAATATATTCTACTTTATGCAATTAAATGATTTCACGGATGTCTCTATAACGCAGTGATTCTTGCAGCTTTAAAGGCCCCTTACCTCTTTCTTTTCCGCCGGATGACGTAATCAGGTAAGCATGAAAAAAATTCTGTTCTCTCAATATCTGAATGAAATAGGTCATAGTCATAAAAAGGGCAATCGGACCAAATGTAATTACATAGTATTATCTGAGCGATACGATGTTCGATACGCTTCCATTGGTTGATATATGGATTCAGCCTCTTTTTTTTGTTTCGGAGGAAGAAGGGAAATGACTCGCGCATTCAACCGGAGGCCGGCCACTCGGGATATGTGGGGCTTGCACCCACTAAAACCCCTCTCTTTAAACACCGCTCTAGGTGGAGGTGAACTCGTCGAACTCGGTTCCTCGGTAAAAATTACCGTTTGAAACAGTTAGAAACAGATAGATTTTCTGACGGTATGTGACGGAATCCTATCCGCTGTAACTGAAAAGAAAATTCTAGCCCTATCCGTTTCTGTAAGCAGCACTATTGTATCTGCAAATACAGACAGAAAATGTAACGACGTATAACTGTATCTAATGGAAATCTATCGGTATACAGCATCTATGACCTTTTGCAATAGAAAAACTTGTCTGTTTCTGTCCGCATTCTGTACGCATCAGATGCTGACGGTATCTATCCGTAATTGCGCATACCGCATCCATCTGCATCTGTACGCAATGTCGACCTATAGAAATTTGTCTGCAACTACGGATACGAATCCTGACTGTTTCTGTCCGCATTCTGTACGCATCAGATGCTGACGGTATCTATCCGTAATTGCGGATACCGCATCCATCTGCATCTGTATGCAATGCCAACCTATAGGAATCTGTCTGTAACTACGGATACGATTCCTGCCTGTTTCAGATAGGAGTTGAATTTTTTCTTCAACGTTGCTGTTAGAGCGAACAGGATTTCGTTAGATATTACCAGCCTTTCCTACCTTTCCTACCTTTCCTACCGTCTTTGCGTACACCAGGCTTATAGAATCTGCAACACTTTTCATCTGTTTCTATCCGTAATTGCAGGGAAAGAAACGCATAGTAAAACAGTCAGAAACGGATAGAATGCACGTTCTATCCGTTTCTAACGGTAATTTTTACCAGGGGACGCTTTACCACAAGACCACACTGCCACCCTGACCTAGTTAGGTCAAATCAGAGAGAAATAAACATTACCTCCATACGAGGAACTGTAGGCAACATCTAAACAAGCAAAATGACAAAGAAGGGCTGTTGATGGGTAAGTAATTATTCGCTTTGCTTCTAACATTATGCATATTATTCTACACAGGGTTATATTTCTTCTCCCCACAATAACAATAAATTTAAGAAATTCACTAGGTACATGAAAACCTTAAACAATAATTATTATAATACAAAAATACGATTATGCATTAATAAAATGCAATGTCTATTTACATTTTAGAATAACAACTTGTCTTTATAGTTTTATGATTATGCATAACGGTAACTTTTCAAACACTGCCTAATTTATTCTTGTTCAACTCTTTAGTCATAGGTATGAAAATTTGAAATGTAAAATACCGCGTAGGGTTTAAATTACCCCCCACATTATTCATGCTGTAAATATTAAGCCAATTAATATTTTCTGTTTTCTCCTTGATATTGTTTATTGTTGCACACATATCGTGAAGTATCTTAACAGGTTAATATTTTAATTTTAATATTTTTTCTACACAGTAATTGGATCTGTATTGAAATGAATCCAGAACACTTATTAGAAGAAAAGAAACCTAAAGTGTAAAATACATCCGACGCGCCTACTGGAAAGTTAATTATTCTACATATGAGTACATAATAACGACCACTTTAATCCGATAGAAATTTGTCAACGAGCAATCTCAATAACTCACGTAAACGAAAGAGAGACATAACAGACGCTAATGACGAGTAATTATAATTATTCACCTTGCATAAGTGACACAACACAAAAATATACACTACGAGAAGAATATATTACAAATTCAATAAGTATTGACTTTTTACACAAAATTTTCCGTTTGTTTTGTGTAAAATTTATGTAACGTCAGTTTATATTATAAATTTTTTCGGTAAAATGTATTTATTATGTACTTCTCGCTTTTTCTTTTCATATTTCAAATATGTATTAAGCAAATTTTATTAATAATTATGTGCATTTCCACCATGATTCTGCGTATTTTCCTACCAAAGTATAATTAAACACTATAGATATAAATTTAAATATTAATTATACAATTTTCTTATTTAAATTTGTGCAGCGTTTATAAATATTTTTGTATATAAAGAATATAAAATAATTCTGGTACAAAGTACTAATTCATGAATTATTTATAAATTATATTTTTATAAAAATATATAATAATTTAAATAATACCAATTAAAATTTACATTAATATTAATTAATAAAAATTATTAAAATTTTCTTTTTAATTAAAAAAGCGGAATTATACTGTAGATGTTAATTGAATTTAATTCTATTTTTTATCTTTTCGGCTCCTCGAAGCATTTATACATATAGATATGTATATATATTATTGATTTTATTGTTACGTATTTGTACATTTTTCTACTGAAATTTTGTGCCTGATAAATCTCACACTTTTTATTTGCTACGTAAATTTTTAGAGAGTCCTATGTCAGATGTATTAATTGCAAATTCGTATCAATCAGCACAGCCTTTGATGTCAATCATCTTTTTTTTTTACTATTATGTTACTATCATTTCTATCGTTAGACTGTTTTGCGTTCGTTGCAGTCAACTGATTTGAATTTTTATCATGCATACGATTTTCAGACTGCCGTTCCAAAATATCCATAGCGTAAGTAACTCTGTTATTTGTTATGGCTTCCTTTAATTCCTTTCCATATTGAATTTCTGTAATATAGTTTTATTATATGATTGTCTAGTATTAATTTCTAGCATTTTCAGAATTTTCGACGTGTAGATTGAAACTATATAGCATGGATATGTTCCAAAATCACATAAATATTAGAATATATAACATTAACGTAAATTTACTTCTTGCGTGTCGTGCGTTATTGTCTTCTCTTTGTCTCTTGATCTCTTTTTTTCGTTCTTCGGCTAAATATCGCGCAAACGCGGCATCGGTCGCTTCATCTCTCGCTTTACGTTCAGCTTTCTGTTTCGCCTTCAATAAGATTTAGAACGTTTTTATATGAATTTCTAACACATTATCCATAATGCGAGCAAATCGTGGTAAATATTTGAATAATTTGACTCAAGCTTTACTATTTCTTGGAAGGATTCAGCACATTGCTTTCTTGATATTTTGACCGATTGTTTCGTCCACTTGCTCCTCTGTTCTTCCCGATACAATTCGTCATCGATTTCCTGCTTCTTTCTTTCTTTGCGCACGTTAGTCAGCAGTTCTCTGGCTACATTATCTATCGCCGTTTCCCTCGCTGCACGAAGTTCTGTCTACACAACGAAAAACGCAAACACTGAAAACTTTTTCTTATAAATTTACCAGTTCGATCTTACGTATGCTCAGAAGAAACCCAATTTTACCTTCACATCGAGTTCTTTCTCCTGTCGAGCTTCCTTCTCCGCGATTATGCGAGCAATCCTCTCGTCTTCGTCCTTCAACGCTTCCTTATATTTCCTTTCCCACGCTTTCTTAGCCGCCAAAGATGCGGCCATCTCCGCTCTCAAAAGAATCGCGTCGTTCTCCTTCCTCTTCCTCATCTTTGCATCTTCTTCCTGAGTCTTCCGTATCGCTCGTTCCATCATCTTACGATCCTGCTCTTTCTCCTCGATTCTTCTTTGTTGAACTCGTCGACGATCGTCCGCCAATTGATTCTGCAGATCATCACGCGAGCTCCGCTTCTTTCTTTCATCTTCGGCTTGTTGCAGCTTCTCAACGGTTTTGTCGTGCCAGAGCCTCGATAGTTCCGCTTGACTCGCTTCCAGACGAACTTTCTCCTCTATTAGGCGCGATCGAGCTTCACTCAGGACACAACTCGGTGGTGATCGCGCGGAAAATTTTACTCGATCTAATTTTAGCGCGTGTTTTACTTTTTCATCTATGATTCATAAAGAAATTCGGTTTTGTATATATCCGCTAGGATAAAAGTCTCCGTGAAGCGCAATGTAATACGAGAAAAAAGAATATGATATAATTGTATTTTTTCGCAGATGAACATTGTAATTCTCGATGAGGTCGCGGAGTACAATTCGTAAATCTTTACTTTTACGCCGCGACAATTCGGCAGCCAGTCTATCCGCCAATTCAATTTCTGCTTGTTTCGCTTCATCAGCTGCTCGGGCACGTGATAATTCCTCCGCCAAAACGGCTTCTCGTTGCTCGGCCTGCGAACGACGTCGTGCGATTTTGTTGTCGCATCGCTCTACCATCGATGCTCGTCTCGCCTCCAATGCAGCTTCCTTCTCGTCCTTTATCCTTCTGTCATCCTCTTCCGTCTTTATGTCTATCAAGTACCATCCTCTGCGAATTTTCACCATCTTTACGTTACGCTACGATGCCTATACGATGTGATTTTTAAGTTGCAAGATCGTCGACTGGATGCAAAATATGCCTCTTGAAGTTTATAGTTATCTTGTTTTCTAATTGAAGACTTATTGCATGTGTATTTTATACAACTAGACATCACAGACGCGCGCTTCGCGCGCGCTATTTAGCTTTAATATTACACACAACTGTCAAAATATGCTATAAGCCGCTCACGAAGTTAACGCAGCAACAGAATCAATCAGCATCGCGGAAAAGAGCCAACAAAGCAATTCGAGATTTTCGAGAAGACTTCGAGAGATGTGAGTATCGATTTAACATGCCTTTTTCTTAAGAAAGGAGATTCCATATTTCAAATAAATATACGATTAATTCGTTTTAGGGCCGATATCACAGTCTCCGATTAACGTGATTTTCCGATTAAACTCACTTTGCGTCTCTTTCTAGAGGAACAGTTAGAAAGAGATGCAGATGAGTGAGTTTAATCGGAGGATCACGTTAATCGGAGTAGACTGTGATTATATTTTGCGCGACAATTATAGTTGACGAAAACTGCGAAAGTAACAAATATAGCTTTGAACACTTATAGCTGTCGCAATTCTTTCTGCATGGAACAGCCATTTAAACGCAATTCGCGTTCGAATCGGAGCTATCGGAAGTAACTATTCTAGTATGTAGAAAAACATTCCTAACATTGAATGTAACTGAAGTATATTCTGTCTAACTTAAAATATTTATTTTCGTTAAAAATTTATTTTATCGTCGATCTATTCTATGTTATCATCAGATAGAATCTCTCTTGTTATCATTAGTCCATTGATACTTCGGCAATGACAGTCAGATGGCGCTAGTCAAATCAATCGCAATCACGCAATCATTGGCCGCGTTCAGCAGACACAACTGTTGAGTTCGTCTTATCAACACTTTGCGTTGATTGGTTGGTTCTAAAAGTAAGAGCCAATCACGTTCGACTGCTACTGAGCGGGTCTGCTGAACGCGCCCATTCACAAAAGGCTAGGATACCGGAATCGTGCTTCATCAAGCTACGGCAGCGGTGGACGCCGAGTTTTGTGTGTGTTTTCGGTCATTATTAATAAACCGTCACCACGTCTTTCCAATTTGCGCCTTTTGGGTACGTATGTCACTTACCTAAGCTGCAGAAATGTCCTGATTTCACGCACGTGCTGAAAATACTCGGATATTCACGTAGGAGTGGCGCGCGCGCGTAACTTAGGTTATCCGGAAGCGTCATATTGATTTTTGTTCTGCTACGTTTTTACGAATTCTACGGATATTATTATTTTAGACAAATAAATGCTAGGAGGTTCAGAAAATAGAAATTTTATTATGTTTTTGGGATAAAAAAAGAAGAAACCATATTTTACTATTCTCTGAATTAAGATTTGTTTAAAATTATGCGTACAAAACCATGTACGATATGTAATACAACATATGAGTGTAAAATTATTGTTAATATTCTTTTCTTGCAGAAATAACATGGTACGTGGTCGCGGAGGAATGATCAGAGGGGGTCGAGGGGGTATGGGACGTGGAATGGGTTTTCCACGAAAGCAATTTCTACCCCGACACCCATTTGACTACACGCTATGCGAGGCGGCTTTCCCACGTGTTAAACCTGCTCCGGATGAATCTGATTTTCAGTCAGCTCTCGTGAAGAAAAATACTGATATGTGTCCAACGCCGAAGGAGCAGAGTTCCATCTTAAACCTTGTAACTAAACTGCAGGGTGTCCTTGATAATCTGATTGTTGCGCCAGGAACCTTTGAGGCTTGCGTAAGTGTACATGCTTCTATTGTATAATTGCAAGCTAAATTTTTATTTCTTAATATCTCTTGTATCATACATTATGCGTATTATTTGCTTTTACATGTAGCAATTGGAAGAAGTAAGACAAGTCGGCAGTTTTAAGAAAGGTACGATGATTAAGGGCCACAACGTTGCTGACATCGTCGTTATCCTCAAAACTTTGCCGACGAAAACGGCAGTGGAAGCACTCGGGAACAAAGTCAATAATGACCTGAAGTCTGTGAACCCAAAGGAGATCTTCAGAGTTATGCAGACGGAGCGCGGATTTGATATTGCTAACAATGAAGCCACTGTACGTGTATTAATAACTACATTACACCAAAATCTACGCAAGCTGGAATCGGAGCAACACTTGGATGTCAAAATTTGTCAAGGTAATTCTCGCGCTTTTACAGCCAACAGATTTTAGTAATTGTTACTGAAAATATGTGATTACTTGTAGGCCACCTTGCCGCTATCAGACATTCTCGTTGGTTCGAGGAGAACGCTCATCATTCTAGCATTAAGGTTTTAATTCGTCTACTTCGTGATCTTAGAAGCAAATTTGAAGGCTTGGAACCATTATCCCCGTGGATGCTAGATCTATTGGCACATAATGCCATAATGAACAATCCCAGCAGGCAAGCGTTACCGATAAACCAAGCGTACAAGAGAGTGCTGCAGTTGCTCGCTTCCGGACTGTTTCTCCCAGGTTCAGCAGGTACTAATAGCTTGTTTTTAGAATTGAAGGTCTTTATCATTACCATTGGGATAGTTATCACTAGGAATCACATGACGTCAAGAATAAAAAAAAACGTATGCTAATAACATGCACAATTGCGTGATCGATGAATTGCAGGAATTATAATCACGTTCTACAATTCCAAATAATTGACGTAGATATCTTAATCATATGATTTTTTAATAGTTACTATGAAGTATAATGACATGTTTTAGGTATCTCCGACCCGTGCGAGGGTGGAAATATACGCGTGCATACAGCATTGACACTCGAACAACAGGATCTCGTATGTCTCACTGCCCAAACACTGCTGCGCGTACTGGCTCATGGTGGCTATAGACCATTGCTGGAAGGCTCCAACAAACTTGCAGTAGAGATGAGCGTGTGGGCAGGAGGCGTAGTGGCGAGCCCGTTAGATAAGGCGTATGAGCCACCCACGGAGCAAGAGCAGCAGGAAGACATGGACGAAAGCAACGAGGAGATGATCACGGAAAGTGTTTAGAATCTTGAGTTAATGTAGGAACGTTTTGTCTGAGTCCCTCCTTTTGTACGTGATGCTCCTATTTTCTCGACGACGTTTCTCAAAAAACGTATTGTATTTATAACATATTTGCACACATACATTTCAATGACAATTGAATTCCATTGACAAAATTATACTTTTAAGTTGATATTCGTATCATGGGCAATTCGACGATGAAAACGCGTTTCACGAAATGTGAGATTTGACATAAAATAAAGTATAGATTAATGTGCGCTGTATTCGATTAAATAACTTATTTTACTTCTACGTTTCTTTCGCACGTATAGCACTTTAAGCATCTACACTTTCAACAACGATTGTATAAATGCCAGGAAGAGATTTGATCTCTGAAGATTAGTCTTATGTAAATTTTTTTTATCGAAAAATGTTTCTGATTTCCTTAAACATTTGGTTAATAACTGTATTGCGACATGTAAATATGTTGGGAGACCAGTTTCTTTATATTTCGAATATTCCGTTTCACGTTCATTGATGGTGTATCCCATGGTGTCAAGCACACATATGAAACGTGCTTATATATCGTATGCACTTGCAATTTGGCAGTGATATCCGTGTAACGAAATGTACGGTAGAAAACATTAGTCCTCACTTGGAACCCCCCTAGTGTAGGCAAGGATCGTTTTCTGGGGTTCTGGCGACCCGCGCGCAATTAACCATACGGGAACTGGTGCCCGGCCGAACCGGCACCTTGAAGAGCTTGCCCTGCGGCATGCACACGCAGACCTTGTACTGCTCGTGACTGGTGGTTGGGCTCTGCAGGAACATCGGCGCTACCGGGATATCCTCCACGTCGATGGAGACGCCGTCCTTGGCATCGAGCACGATGCTGCCGTTCACGCTCTTCAAGAAGATATCGAGATCGGCGCTCCACGCGATGTCCTTGCTCTCCATGCGCACGCCTTCCGCGCCGTGCAACGAGACCTCATTGTCGGACTTGATTGCCAAGCTTTCGTTGACCGGCGACGTAATCCGATGGGTCTCCGCGATCCTCACGTCGATCGTCTTGACGCCGCTCGGCAGACCGAAGTTCGGGAAGTCCGTGGTGAAATAGGTCGCGCCGGTACGCGGATCCTTCACCTCGAACGATTCCACTTGCGACATAGTGGTACCGTTCGGTAGAACGCCCAGCTTCGAGTGCGGATGCGCTTCGTGGGCGCGTCCGTGACTCTTTACATCGACGTGCACCCCAGCCTCGTCGCCGGATATTTCCATTGGCTCGTCACCGTAACTCTGGCAGATGCCCGACTGCAGGGATATCTTCAGGAAATGCAAAAAAACGTGATATCAATACTTACAAAGAGATATTTTTTATTATTTTAGTCTTTTTTATATTCTTGTCTACGTATGTATATGTTATCCTTCTTAAATATCAAATGTACAAATATGTATATCTAGCATATCTACCTTGTCCAAATCTGTTCTTCCATAGAACTTGACAAGATTTTCGTCTGGGATTACTTCCATAGCTTCCATTCCCTGACTTATACGTAAAACAGCGATGACGGTAATATTTAGGAAAAGATTGCAGAGGCCGATTATCGCTAGGACCAAAGTCAACGTCCAGAGGCAGTAACGCCTCTTCGTGGATTTTTGGCCCATCGATCTCATGCCGTACGAGGAAGCGATTGTCCTGTTAACATCGCCCGAAGATTAATCATCCGAAATTAACTTGATACAACTTGCATTGAACCGATAATTTTGACTAATTGAAATTAATTACTTTTTAATTAATTCCGATTAGTATTTATTTCCATCTTCTATTTAATTTCTTTCTATAAATAATAACATTAATTATACATTGTGATAATATAAAGCGGAACAAAGTCATACATTGGTAGTAAAGCAAAAACGGGTATAATCGAGTAAAATATTCTCTCTTTCTAAAAAAATAATAATTTGACTTATTTTACTATAAATATCTTTCTTTAGATATACTTGCATAGGAGCTATTATTAACAATCTAATGCGATTGCTTTCTCATTCACCTCGCATGCATGCTGCCGCAACTATTTTGGCGAATGATGCTCTTAATCAGGGGCCCGTCGCTATTGGACAGATTATCATCAGCCTTCGAAATCGATGGCGAACCGGTATCATTTCCACATACATCTAGAAGAGCCGACATCGAACGTTCTTCCGTCTACCTGCCGAAAATTAAAAATCAGGTTGTTATAAGAGTTGTATAGAAAAATCAGATGACTAGATAAATTATATATATGAAATATAAAAATGGAATTATATAATAAAAATATATCTTTTATTTTGCTAATTAAAGAAAAAGATTAGTTTGTTATTAATATATAAATTATAAATCAAGATTTCTGTTCACGTTCTTTTGTTGGTTTTAGAAGGAAGGTATATAACATCTTATATCATGTTAAAATAATTAAAATGATATATTCGTGATAATATTTGGTTTTATCGACTTATATCGCTACAAATTACAATGCATCAACAAAGGCACCAATGTATATGGTCACACCGCATGTATACCTCGTGGCTTCGACATCGCGATAGTCTTTATTAAAGCCGTAGAACCAGTTTTGCGTTTTGCTACCAAAAATAACACTCTTATCCGAGGAGGAATCGTCCTTCGCACTCAACGGCGAGCTGCTCTTCCACGCCGAATGCCCCGATCTGCCCTGGCCGCGAGACGCGTGCCGCGGCCGGTCGCTTCGCGTGCGGTTTCCTTACCTCGGCTGGGACCAGCAGCGGGAGGCGGCCGCCTTTTCAGATAAACGAAAATAGACGACCGCGTTACGTTCCGGACTTTCGCGGATTCTCCGACGACCGGGAGCGATGGAAGTAGGTGAAGATACACCGGTCGGCGCTTGCGCGTCCAGGGATCAATGCCGAGTGTCCTCAGGAATTCTACCTATACTCGCGCGCATTCGCCTTGGGTGAGTTTGTGCATTCGCGCTTCTTTTTGACAACGAGGGAAATAGAGCGAGATCGAAAGTCGCAGGCGAACATAAGAGTCCACGGGACGAAGATTAGCTTCAATTTCCTTATACTTTTACATGTACATTGTTCAATCATATGCCGCTAAAGGTCGGGTTTTCAGTGGAAGCTCGCACTAGGAATAAACAAATTGTTGCGTCGTATAAAAAAGGGAATGTATTTGATACTTAAAATGGATACATTTAAATTAAATGAGTATAACGATATGTTAAAAGTATTCCGGCCACGCGGTTCTCTCTATCCAGGGGATGTAATAGTAGACTCGGGTGTACACGCCAGGTATGATACTACCGCAAAGTCGTCCAAGACTGGTGACCCCGATTATGGTGTACATGCAATCATGGACCGTGTTAAAGACGGCAAGTGGTCCTCCACTGTCACCCTTGAACAGCAACGAGTATATTCTTATTAATTCGCATCTGCTTACAAATATTCTGTTTATAAAAATGATTTAACGTTTTTTTCCCAGTTGAAGCTAACCAAGTCTTTGGTCCCTTCCAGCTATAGAAATGAAATTGGAAGAAAGCAATCGTAAAGCTGCGCATCATCAGATTTAACTTTAAAACGATTTTAAAAGGCTCGCGTTAAAATAAAACTTTCATTGAGACTTGAGAGGGACGAGGACTTACTTGGCAAGTATCTTTCCCGACTTCTCCCGCGCATATTTGCCATTCATTGACAATCCCTTGTACGAGCTCTGTGGAAGTGCCGCCGTCGAAGAAACTCGCGTTGCAAGATTGATGAGGGACCAAATTGAGTGTCACCTTCAATAGATTTTCCGAGCCCCTGTCATCAGCTGAATTAAGCAACATGCTCTTATTAATTTTACTCATACGTATGCATATATGTAAAAATAAAATATAATTATATATACAAGATTTATGTCCAATTTCTATCAATGCAGATTAATTTTAATTTCGGTTAACATATTTTATTACCTTCTTTTAGTTCTAAGAATTAGAAAAAAGTAAAAAGTAAGTTGAATTGAGGTTCAAGTTAATCTCCATTGGTAGGAATCGACATTATAGTTAGTATTTAATTTTAGCAACTCGGTTTTAGTAATTTCAAAGATTTCTCTCTTTATAATCTTACACCAGTCGACTAGGCCCCATCCGGTGGCGACTGCCTTGTCATTTTGACCCTCGTCAGGCCAATCAACCGGAAGACACGCCGGTCTAACAAACGCGTTGTAGGTAGCTTCTTTCTCCAGGCGGAGTATAGCTATGTCATGATATTGCGATGGCCGTTTGTAGTCAGGATGCCTTATCCTTTCCTGGATTCCGATAGTCTGCGGCATCGCGGTGTCGTTCGTCTGCGCGAGATTCAGATCGCCGAGTCGTACCCACCTCGCGTTTCCCCTTTTTGAGGCAAACGAAATTTATTATAATTATTATTTATTAAGATAGCCGAAGTGCGTTTATGGTCAATTACGGGCAAAAAAAGTGACTTTCTAATTTCCAACAATGATAGTGTAAACTCGAGAAGAATTTGAATGGAGATTTTGATAGTCAATTGCAGCTTTTTAACGTTAAATATTTTGAAGGCAATAGTTAAAATTAAGTATTTCAAAGTATAGGCTGAAACTTAAGAGAACAATAATCTTAAGTATTTCAATTTTTTTCAGTATTTTATTTAATTTCACTTCGAGGGTTTATATAGTTTCTCTTCATCTCAAATTAAGTTGCTCGTAAAAGAACCTTGACATAGTTCGGAAAAAAGATAGATTCTAAATCGATCAAAATTTATAGTTAAAAAAAGGAACTGTAGTTATAATGACAAGAAAGTCGTCGTTTTTTACTTTAGAAGATAAAAGCAATCTTGGTCACGTTTTTCATAAATTTTTCGAGTGTTGGATAGAACGGTGAGAGAAGGCGGACCCGCCAAAATTTACCAGTCCGCTGTCCAAGTGCAGTGGGCCGCTGTCAGGACGATCTTGGAGGAAATTAAGCTACCGCCGCAAAGCCACAAGGTCTCAACATCGGGACGATCAAAACCGACGGCCGCCATGTGCGGAAATTCTTTCGCCTCGGCTTTCTTGCCGCCGACGATCAGTTTGCGCGTTGTCAGGGCACATAGCGACGTATTGATGGGCTTCCGGTTTAATGTCGGAGTAGGTGGTACCGTGAAACCATAGACAGCCTCTGCGTTTTCCGCGCATTCTGAGAAGAAATAAATATTACGAGTTAAATAAAGCTTTTTAATTGAATCCATACCCACATTGATCCTAGTTCTTTTTATTTAATAAACATTTCTTATCTTGCTCTTCAAGATCTCATTAAGTCGATTTTAATTTCATAGAAATGCTTACGCGTGAGACCGTTATTTTTTTTTTACTGCATTTTCTACTCAAATTTAACCAGAATGTCTATATTGCCAATTTAGTATTAATAAAGCTGATTACACATTGCTAGAAAATTTAGTTGTGTGCGTCATTTAAGAGATGCATTTACGTATTACGAGTTACGAGATACGTTCGTAAAGAGATCTCACGAGATACATATATTAAGTGGGCCAAGTTGCACGTTAGTTTTGATAAATGTTGAAGTTACTTCAGTGTTTTTTTATCTTTTATTAGAGAATAGCTTGGAAAAGAATTTTTACTTACTTGCTCGCGCTACAGCTCCCCTTGATCCATCCAATTTCAATGTATTATTTGTTCGCGTGGGACTCTGTGATGGTGGCGCCGGCCTCGGCGTCGGCGTCGGCGTCGGCGTCGGCCGGATGCCTACACCGTTTGTTGTTGGACAACATACTATCGGGTCGAAGCCTAAAAATCCGCAGGACTCACTAGGCGTTTTGCCGGCCAGCAATTCGTCATAAACTTTCGGGCAATCTTGTAGAAGCTTGCACACACCCGAGGAGTTGTCGACCACGCATGACTCTGAAAATTATAAAAACGCATTAATGTATTATAAGTTTTTGCTAAAAATAAAATTAAAGATTATTACTTAAAGATATTTAAAAAAGAAAAAAGAAAACTGATATACAGGATGCTTAAAAAAACGTTAAATGGAAGTAATTTTTTTAGAGAGACACAACTGATAACACAAGATGTCATAGTAACAGATGTATTTTTTGTCTTTAAAGGTCTCCCATCTTGGTCACTGTCATTATTGTTAATACATTCTTGGAATTTTGTCCAGGTGTTTTCCAGAGCCCTGAGGCACATTTCTTTGGATACTGTTGCAATATCACATTTGCAATTTTCTGTCGGAAATTATTGTGCACATTGCAATTGGTGAACAAGTGGGGACTCGTTAAAAATACACTTGTTATTATATGATATCTTGTGTTATCAATTCTGTTTTTCTAAAAAAGTTACTTCCATATAAGTGTCAATTTTGTTAGAGCACCGTGTATAAGTAAACTATCTGAATTGCTGAAGAGGTACGAAATTGATTTGGCCTTTCAATTTTGTCAACAAGGTTATTGATACGCATTTAAATGTTATGACGAAATTAAAAAATGCAGACTTCTTTTTCAGTGACAGAGATATTCCTACAAATCTTATTTAATTATCATTAAATCATTATCTCGAATATTAATTTCCATTACGGGATACATAAACACAAAATAAACCCAAAAATAATTGTTAATGCTCAAGACGTCATTGTTAAGCAATTCTTCTATGTATCAAAATTAAAAGTAATTTATGATTATAATATTGTATTATAAGTAATCGTTTATAATTAGAGAATTGTATTTATAATCAAATAAATCTATAATTAGAGTTCTTTCAGTACATAGCACGTGAATTTCGAGACTTTTGGATCTTTCCATTCATCGAAGTCGAAGAACACGGTCGCGACCCGTTCTAAACAAGAATTCGCGTATTTTTAGCGAGGAGAACTGATACTCACCTCCAACGTGCTTTCCGTGTGTCAGCGACAGGATCGACACCAACACCAACAGTACTAACGATGAGGCGATCGGCAGGCTCGCAGGCATCCTTGATCAGCCTTGGGTCACGCGGTTCGCTCGTCTGATTCCGACGACTCGTTCGCGATGGAAGATATACCTCGTCTTATAACACATCCATTCGTTCCACAAACGTTTCTTGTTTTTCCTGATCCCCACTCGGGTCGCGCGTCCGTTCCTCGCCATGGTGATGACGAACCACGAGGTCATTCTCGTCGTGCACTTCACGATAAATCAGCCGATCGTATACGCGATTCCATTCCCGTCTTCGAGGAAGATCTTGCGTTCGGCAAAACGCTCTTAACGACGGATGATTAAGAGGCAATCAGTTGTCGCGTGCCGCCAGCGATCTGTTATAGGAACTGAAATCTCTGTAATTCCCTGTGTGATTTCGATCGAAATCGCTGTAATTCCGGTAGTTTCGATTTTTAATGTGCGAATCTTCCACGCAAATTATCGTCACGAAGAACGATAATAAAATGTTAGTACCTCTGCCTACGTCGCTTCGAAACTTGAATTTAACGGGATTATAAATCGGATTCTTCGGATCGAAGATCATAAATAAATCTCGCAATGTGTGTGATTCTGCATGTGTATTGAATGGGGATAAGTGCGTATTCGCATGTCTTTTACAAAAGTCGCTCCTTATTTGAACGATATATTGAGTCGCATTTGCAAAAGGATACCTATACTTTTCTTTAAATAATTATGTATAAGGAACCTATACATATACAGCCTTTTCTTTCTCTCTCTTTTTTTATTCCATATAATATTCCATGCATGTATTGCATATTCACGCATCATTTTGCTTTTTATGCTGTTAAGATAAAATCGAAAGTTATGTAAATATGTAATAAAAACGAGGAAAATAGAAGAAACTATTTTACTTCTTGCTAATATAATGCACAAAGTAGGTCAATATTAAAATCTAAGAATTTATGTGTTAGTTATTATATCTCTTACTATGTTATTTTTACCATGTTATCAATGGGAGAAACACGTTAACTTTTTCAAAGAAATTTTGATGCAAAGTACAAAAACAACAGAACAGTCTGATTTATCTTACAAACAGTAGAAGTGAAACAATTCAGTCGTAATGTAAAAGTAGGTGCAGATTTTTTTTGGAAATTTTCACGATTGACGTTCCCAGAGCTCTGCAGATCTTATTACGATTTACGATTAATAATTTGTTTCATTTCCCACATCGTACATGAGTTGCACTTTATCGAGCTATTAGAAATCTAATGATGATTACACGTTTTTCGATACGTCAGACGTCGAACTTGAACTTAATACATGGAACAAATCAGATTCGATCCATCCCGATCGACATCACGGCGCTGCCAAAGGCCCGATGGATTTGATAAGACCAGTTTCATTACGAGCGAACCACGTGTACACATCCAGGGATGTAGCATTTGTCTGAGTGTTATCTGTAAGAAGTTAATATGATACAAGTATTAACAGTGTAGTAACAGTAGTTAATTATTCTGCGCTTAAAATAAATTAATGGTTTGCGTAGAAACCACATGCATGTATACGAGAGAGAAATATTATTATGAATGAATCAAAATGTCAAATGTGCAAAATTTATATTCCACGCGTTCCAGGAGGATGTGTAATAATATAAAGAGGATGTGTATTAAATACTTAAATACCTCGAGCTTGAGTAATAATAATAAGATGGTTTCTGAATTAATTAAATGGGATTTGTAAGAGCGCGCACTCTGGCTAATTTAAAGTCGACTTTTCTTGGTAATGTTTCTGCAACTCGCGTCTCAAGAAGATGCATGAACAAGAAAGCTTTATAATTCTTGCTCATCTTAATTTTATAAAAAATTAATTAAAGACTTACTAAAACAAATAAAATCTCGAAGATTGAATAGTTACTACAAATAATAATCTATTTACGGATGTGACAAGAAAAATTGTTTCCGAATTCATATATTTATGTATTAATATAAATTTCGTCAAATCTAAAATATATATATATATATATATATATATATATATATATTAAGTTAACGTTTCGTTTAATCGACGAATGAAAAGAAGATTTTTATCTGCAGCATGAGTAATAATATGCGGTATAATAACGTAATACAATTTTCCTGTTAAATAGCTAAGGTACAGTACCTAATTACTGGAAACAGACGTAGATATTTTGTGAAAGACGCATGAGGAAGAATTCAGCGGATACGTCATTGCTTGTAGTTCCGGTAATACCATTAATGACATCTCGACTCACGGATCGCCAATCGTTGATAAACGACCTCATCGTCGCGCAACTCGCATGCACTTCGTTACGCATTATCCGCCGTACTTAAGGCGAGAATTCGCTATTAAGGCCTTTGTTCGAAGACGGTGTCGATACGCCGCGTATTGGATTCGCAATATGCCGAGAGAGCTTGCGATCGCGTTATTCGTCGCAATCTTGCTCAGGAATTCCGCGGCGCGAAAAAGTGAAGAAAGTTAGTGGTATAGCCTTCGTTATACTCGCGATCGGATTCCAAAAAATTTATTTTGAACGCTCATAAATCACGATCCCAATGTATCCTAATTCTTTGTCAAATCAATTTTTTACAGACAGAAAATGAATAAGAAATTATGGTGATAATTTTTTAATTAATTATAATTTTTTAGTATTAAAGATCGCAGCAGCAAAATACGAAATTAAATAGATATTTGTTTAAATTAAAAATTAAAAAATAAAACTCGAAAATTTATCATTTGTGTCTCATCTTTTATGTTACAAATATCCATAATAATTTTAAACTTAAATTTTATCTAAGTTATATTTTTCATTACATTTCAAAATCGAGTCTTTTGTCAAGTCTTTGCTGTAGAAAAGCATATTAGACTTTAATTCTATTTTTGTTTTAGATTGTTATTATCATACAATTTTCATTGCAAGTTGGCTTTTGTGGAACTCTGAAATGATGTATAATGTCTATTAAATTATATTACTAGTTGTTTTTCGAAATTTCTTTCATTGTGCGAACACGGCGGGTTTCGCGATTACAAGAAGCATGCGTAACTTGTTTAGATCAGCATACAAATGGATGCGCATTTCGTAGGAGACGCGTGATTAAATAATCATGACACGTATCGATGATAAATTGATAAACTACGCACTTCGCCGGCACAGAATATACGCGTACAAATGAATAACAAAGTAATTTCCATACATTTTCCCTAATCCCGTCGCATCGTAATTGTACCATAAATCTTCGATTGCATCGATTCCCACCTATTTTCCGCTACGGGCTTGGTTTGCATAATCCCCGCTTTTCTACAGAATGTAAGGAATACGCCGATCTGGTTTACGAGACCGAGAAATCGCCGACTTTACGTATCAATGCCGGCTCGAATAGAGTTTCCCGCTGCGCCGTCGTCGAGACACCTTTAATTATCGGCGGAATCCAAGCGAAACCAGCGGAATTTCCGCATATGGTGAGAATAAATACACTTATCGCTGCGATCGCGGAAATAATTAAAAGAGTCTATATATAATGTTACCGATGTATAACAGATATATGTTACAAAAACATCAGTAAATAAAGAAAATTGCCTTAAATTTCGATTACTTAATCAAAGATGGTATATATTATTAACATCTTTTTATAACTGTTAAATAAACAATGTGATACCAAATATTTCTAACAGTAATTACAAATATGCAAAAAACATGAAAACTAACATATGTAAAATATGTTTTTGAGAGCGAGCGTGGCGTAGCAGATAGCACACTGGTCTGCTAAACCAAAGATCTCAGGTTCGAATCCAGTTTTGGCAAAAAATATAACGTCCTTGAATATAAAAATTAAAGGACGTTTTGCTACTTTACCCTTTCGGGTACTTGGGGGGGGGGGGAAGTAAAGTAGAACGTTCTTTAACTTTTATATTCAAGATTGTTGTACTTTTTGTCAAAACTGACTCTGACACGCTTGACTCTAGAACACCGTGATCGCCGGGGCACGCGCTCCGCCTAACCGAGTAAGTAAGGAAACGATGAAAGTAGTGGTAATTCACCGGCGATGTTGCCATCTCCCACTTATGCTACACATCTCATGTCTCCTTACAGTGCCAGACTAGAGTCAAGCTCAACAGGGTCTTCTTTCCCCGCTAATTTTTCCAAGCCCGTTCCCTTGGCAGTGGTTTCGCTAGATAGTAGATAGGGACAGTGGGAATCTCGTTAATCCATTCATGCGCGTCACTAATAGATGACGAGGCATTTGGCTACCTTAAGAGAGTCATAGTTATATTGCTGCTATAAAGTATGACATCCTTCACTTTTATATTCAACGACGTTATACTTTTTATATTCAGTATATTATATTTTTTATATTTAGTATAACCCGTTCATACCCTTTCGGGTAAAATATAACGTCCTTGACTTTGATATTCATTCGTAGTATAACCCGTGGAACTTGAACTGCTTGGCCTGCATTGAAATGTGATATAAGTAAAAACTTGCCATTCGGATTCGGCGTTAAACTGTAGGTCCCATGTGCTTGTGTACCTGCGTGCGCACTACAAGCACATGACTTTGGGAGAGGCCTTCGGACTGTTGCGCCATTGAAATGAATGATGAAAATATATTTTTATAAGAATTTTAGCACGCAATGCATAATTTCGTTTATTATGCCATATTCCATTTGGAAAACCCATGTGATAACATAATAGATTTCCATGAATCGCCTTAATCATCAAAGTAATTAATAAAGCAGAATTTTCCATATCGTAGGCGGTGATCGGTTATGGCAAGCACGACGTGTCCTGGCAATGCGGAGGAAGCATCATCTCCGAGAATTTTATTCTAACCGCGGCGCACTGTATGGAATCCCCGGACAAGTAACGGTCTTGTTACAATTATCGTCAATCTTGAACGTCCAATTATATATACATTGTTATTAATATTAACGACATATTTTTCAGGGGTCCCGCAAGCAAAGTGCGAGTCGGCTTAATTGATTTGGTAATTCCGGGCGACGCTATGCAGGAGAGAGACGTCGCGGAAAGAATTAAGTATCCGGAGTACAAGTCTTCGGTCAAGTACCACGATATAGCGTTACTCAAGCTCGACCATCCGCTGGAATTGAATCCTCGAGTGCGACCCGCATGCCTCGAAACAAACTCCCAGATACCGGGCAAAAGCGCTATTGCTTCTGGGTTTGGAAAAACATCCTACGGTCAGTATCCTCCAAACGTCTCATGTTGCACTCTAGAAATTATTTCATATTAATTTAACCGATATCATTGATTATTTTATATTAATTTTTTGCTTGTCAAGAGACGTAACGTGAGATACTGTGCAGAATCCAATATTGGTAGCAACGAATTGATGAAGGTCCAGTTGAATTACATTTCCGATGATAACTGCAAAAAGGCTTACGCCGAAGATATTGGCACTCGACGGCTGCCAGACGGCTTGATATCGAGCTTCCTTTGCGCCGGTATAATGGAGGGCGGCAAAGATACCTGTCAGGTGTGAAAAATTGTTTAGAATTATTATCGGGCCTTTTATTTTTAACACAGTATCGAAAATATCTTATTCCTCAAATTAAGAATTTTGCCTCAATCTCTTATTCATTTACCTCTTGATGGTTCAACTTTCGGAGTGAACTTCAATTTTAATTAGAAAACTAGAAGTATACATATTTTAAAAATCGAATACATACCTACATATAATATAAGCATCCGTACAAATTAAGCATTATAAATTAGATACAAATAATTTAATTATATGTATATTGGATTAATTATATATTTAAATTAACTACATATATTTGATAAATTTTATATCTTTAATATAATCATATATTTTAAAGATTATATTTAAAATTAAAAAAAGATTTGAATAGATTCTAATTTGATATTATTTGCAGGGTGACAGTGGTGGTCCATTGCAAAGAGTTCTCGCAGAACCTTACTGCATGTACAGCATCGTGGGTGTGACGAGCTTCGGCAAGTTCTGCGCCTTTAAAGATTCGCCCGCGATATACACTCGAATTAGTTCTTATCTCGATTGGATTGAGAATACCGTTTGGCCGTAAAAATCGAACATGAAAACCGGATCAATAAACGCGCGGATCTCGAAATTTAATTTCAATTAACAGTTTCGATGAATAATCGGTAAAGAATAATTATATGTATTATATAAAATTATCGAGATGATGAGAATTAAGGAACAATTGAAATAAAAAAATGACATACAACATTATCATGTTATTACTGTAACTTATTTTATTGCAAAAGAGATAATTATTCATTGGTATTTACAATGCGGTACCCAAATGTATGTATATACGTACGATTCAGTGTAATGAACATCTGCAACTTATGTATTTTTACACAAGGAGTATATCGTAATTAATAACAACCAACAATGATAAAATGTATACAATATGTAATGACTAATATACGCTCTGTAAAAATAGAATAATATTCAACCCACACTGTCGGATAAAAGAAGGTAATAAACAACGTAAGGCGCGCCATAACATTAACTTTAACAAGTGTTATAGTATGTCCAGTATATAATGGGAGAGATATACACATAAAATTATTAAATATATTAATGGCAAGTAGGAATACAGAAAAGAGAACGAGGACTTGTAACGCGATAAAAAAGTCTACAGAGACGTGATCTGCTTATTAGAAGAAATATCTCGGTAATCGTCCAGTAAGATAAAGATAAGAGATGCTTAAAACTTCCATCGAGATGCAATTAAAATCCTTAATATGTGTACGTATATTATATTTACATTATGTACGTGATTTAAATTATCAGTCTTACGGCTCTCGAAAGGAAATTACATGTAAATGTACATACACACGCAAACGCAAAGGTCTCGTTATATTGATTAGCGACTGATATTCGATGAATGGACACGAACTCGATCTGGAGCAGCAGTACCGGTGCATAAACTGGCTTCTTCACGACAGAACTATCAATCATCCCCACGTATTTCCGGCACATCTATTTGCAAGCTTATTTTAATTCTAGATAGCTACATCGAAGTGCAAAAAGAAGAAAGAAGAACGAAAGGGAAATCAAAGAGAATAATAGGAAAGAGAAGTAGTGGAAATAATATATGAGTTCGTTCATCGAAAGATTAAAAACTATCTCGCTGAGAAAGCGTAACGCGAAAGTGGAATATCAATCGTTATCCACTTTAAAGAATAGAACTGCAAAGAATCCCTACGAGCAGAGAAAGCAGTTCCATTTACGATGTTGCTATCAAAGCCCGATGCAGAACGCGTAGAGTGGCGTCTGCAAATCACCGGATGGAGTCGTGCCGTCTCTCGCAGTCATGCCGACATTTTCTTTCCAGCAATTCTGCGACTCAAAGCACTCTCTCATTCACCGCGAAAGCACTGCCGCCTCCGGTTGCCCTCTCATTACCTGAAAGCAAAACTCAGACCGCCGAGCATTCGAATGTTGCTTTCGTTTAACAACGCGGGTGGCATTGTATTTCCGTGCGCGCCAGCCACACTTCTAGCTAGAGAGACATGCATTTCATTTCAAACGAGAGGCTTGAAGGAGCACAGGCGCATAGAAGTGGCAGCGCTTTGAACGTGATGGAAGAGAGTCAGAAGTGACTTCAAAGAAACGACCCTCGGCACTCCATACGTAGAATGGCCTACCAGATACGAGATAAGAATTGGTTCTGCAAGAGAGGCTTGGCGCCAGAAAGTATCACGTCTGAAAGATTCGTGCCTTTGCAAGCATTCATACTTCACTCCGCCGTTGCTATTTCGTGTGCGAGTCGTTGCAATAGCACTTATCACTAATTCGTGAATACCTGAACAAGACTGATGAATGTTTTAACAATCAAAACACTCTGCTCAAGCCTTCATTCTTTACATTCACATCAGAGAAAAATATCAAACATATGATAATTGAACTCGTAGACATATTTCTCATACGTTCCTTTTTTTTGTAGGTATTCACGAATCGATAGTAAATGCTGTTTCAGCGTCCATTCGTAACGTAATCGAGCTGCTCGCCGATCAGCTCTTTCGCTCTTATCGCGCTTCATTCGTTTGTTCTATTTATTTTTAAGTCCTACTCGCTTAAACGTGTCGATTCAAGCAAGCAAGTGGTTCGCAAAATTGCGTGTGTACATACATATATCGCGTATACGCCTAACTCTGTATATACATATATATAAGATATAAATCTTCGTTAAATAAAAATCTTTGAGAAGTGAAAGCCAAAGGCAATAAAGTACAGATATGTAGTTGCACTTTAGATTAGTAGTTTAACATTTCACAAGATATGTATCTAGTATCGTTTATTTTCTCGATTCGGATGTTCTAACAACGCGGCAGTGACCGCCGAAATTTCGTGCGAAGCTATTTTTTTTTCTTTTAATCGCGGCACGCGCCGAAGAAGGAACTATAAAGGAAACGGCACGAATATAGCACCGGTTAGAATATAAACCTGCCGTTAACAGTTATCATTTCATCGTTTTCCGCTGATAACGTTTACACCGATTCGACTACGAACGGTACTACCAGCCTTCTACCGTAAATATTTCTCGCAGTTATTAATCAATGACATAACTTTTCAACAACTCGGTGACGATGATAGCGTTGCCCAAATAACGCAATAATAGGCACAAAAGACGTGTAAATATACGCTCGTAAAGATCACGTTTTACGTTGCCTGAGCGGCGAGATGTACCCACTGGGCACTACGAGACAAATCTTTATAATTCTTTAAGGCACCCTAAGGCACATCGCGATGCAATTTCACGCAATAATCTCACAACTATTAGCTAAATACACTGAGACCTCACGAGACCCATGCGCGTCTCCTGTCTTCCCCGTTATGCTCGTAAAAAATAATTGACACGCTCGGTCGACAATCTGTGCTTCGCAGAAAGGATCGTTTTGAGAGTGTCGGAGAGGAAGAAATGGAAGATAGAGAGAGAAAGAAAAAGAAGAAAACAGAGGAAGAAGCGTACAAAGGAAGAAATGGATAAAGCTTACAGAACTATAACATTGGCCGATATGACGAGACCAGCGAGATTTGGATCGAGGATGAAAGCTCAATCCCGGCGGACTCTTTATGTCCGCAGGCAGGCCAAAAGTCTCAGGAATGAGGAAGCGGAGGAGGAAGAAGAGGACGTTCGAGAAGATAACGTGCGGCGATGATGTTCGCGCTGGCGAGCGGGGCTACTGCATGGCGTTACAGCTGGAGGCATCAGACCCTGGATGTTCTCGATAAACCGGTAACCGGTTGTACGATGTCGCGGATGCTGAAACCTGGAACAATAACAATATATGATAAGATAACATGAGTAGCTTTATTGTGCGTCGTTAAGTAATTATGACAAAACGATAAATGTAGAATAGTAAATAAAGTAGACGACGTACTGAAGCGTTTACAGTGAATTTCTATGCTGACTTTTAACAGATACAATAAAATATGATTAATGAAAACGAAATATTTTTAAGAATTTGAAAATTCTGCAATTACAAAAATAGTGTATTAAATAGGGAATTAATTACATATATTGCGAATTGCGGCAAATATAATCAATTTACGTTTGCAATTGAGTTGCATCGAATTTTAATTAGTTTCCGCGATAATTAAGTCTGATCGATAATCGATAGTTTAGTTTGCCGTTAGAGATATTTAGATAAACATTATAATTTATCTAATATAAATGTCGGGGTAATAATTACTATAAGTAGACGTTTTCAAAAATATTTAATATTTTTTTTTACTCTGTCGGCTCAGATTGATTCGAACACAGTTTCGATTAAAAGCGCGCCGTATAAATTCGCGACGGAATTGAAACGCGTCGGTGAGGTCTCAGCGACCGCCACGCCGGCTGCGATTTCCAGGGGACGGTTAACAATGCTCGGCAATTAAGACGGCTGCCTTTTTTCTCGGCGACACGGAATGCACGTGTCGCGCACGTAGGTATATGCATTACATTATACGGGAACGCGTGCAAACATCGCGCGAGCAAGCAAGCAACGAGTACAACCGCTCGAGGTTGTCGAGAAGCCGAGATTACCTCGGTCCGTCCCACGCGTCTAGACATCGCAAAGCTCTTTTTTTTGTGTTCTCTCCCTTCCTCCCTCTCCCTCTCTCTCTTTCTCGCTCTCGGTGTTCACCAAGGCGTGGTACCACACGGTGTGACCGCGGTGCGGCACGGACGCGCGGTACACACGATCCTGTGCCACCACTTCTCGCAACCACGCCTCGAATAATGTCAGGATATCTCAGAAGTCGCGCACTTCCTCCGCACCGGAGATAAAATTCGTTGCTAAACTGTCTCAATGTCGAGAACCGTGCAGATAAAGAGAGAGAGAGAGAGAGTTCGCTCGCGAGAGTTCAACCCTCTGATGCACTCCGTGAGGATTAAGGCGACTCCTGCAGCTCCTCTTATCGTGCACATGCAACTACATAGCGATATCGGAATACCGAGAAATTATATATTCTGGTTTATATTTATCGTATCGCGTTGTACTCGAGAGCAATATGTACAGTTCTTAGTTGTTTTTATCACAAATTGCGACTTGTATAAAATTTTCAAACGAGGTGATAATTGCATCGTGCATCTGAGAGTTAAGAGGTCATCGGATCGTTCGAATATGCTGCCAAATATGTTAACGAGCGATGTGCCAGATTTTTCGCAAATGAGGATCGTAGTATGGGATATAATCAGGAATGAAGTTATTTGCATCTTTGAAAATCAAACACTGGCTGGCTAAATAATTCAGACGTTACTGAAGAAATATCTAAATGTATTAATATATTATATTAGTAAGAAATAATAAATAGTCAAACTAATAAGTGTTAAAAACAGCTAATAGTGTAAAAAGAGAAAGGCACGAGAGTAAGTAGTGTTAAACATTTTCAAAAGATCATCAGTGGATTACTTCTTGAAGAATGTTTTTGTTCGTATTCCTTGAGAAATCCAGAGAGTAGCACCTTATATTTAAAGTATTCTGTACATATCTTCATACGTATATAATGAATGATATTATCGAAATAAACTGACATCTTACTTTTAAAATTCGTCACTCGCCCCGCATTGACATAACGCGTTTGCTCAACTCTTAAGCGAGGAATCAAAAGCTCTTTGCCTGAGGCAATTCTGTCTCGGAGAAGCGTTCAAGGAATAATTGTCTTTCGTATGAGAAGTATAATATTGACATTTTAATAAAGAAAAAAAATTTATTAATAATTTCAAGATAACTGAAGTTATCTCTGATTTAAATTTTCGCGTGTATGAATTTTTCCCGATACAAATTCGTTACAAAAAGCTCGGAATATGCGAATGTTCAAGGAAATCAGAACAGAGTGCATCAGCCGTGAAACTTGGCAAATCTACAAATTACGTGTACGGCCACAATTACATCTTATAATTATCGCAATTCTTCGCAGCTTGTTTTTCTCCGTTCGTCACAATGTCTGAAAACGTGGCTGTCAAACCCACCTGTTCCGTCCGTTGCCAAACGATGTCCGCGGGAAAGCGATGTTTCGCGTCGACAGATATAGACAGATTTAGCGGCGCCGGAGCGAACTGGGTTAACGCGTTCGAACCAGGGTCGAGTTTCGCAAAAACTTGAACGAAGCCGTCGAACGAGTCAAACCGAGCGCGAATCTGTCTTGTCAGACGTACGCGCACATCTCGCGTTTCTCGGCCCGGATGGATCAGGGTCGAGGACATTTTGCGCTTGGAAAAGATCCGTTTTGTTTGCTATACTTATAATAGCGCGCAGCAAACGACACGCTGCTGGTTGGCAGTATGTCAAGGATCACCTCGTGTTTTGGCCGTGAAAATAATTTAAAAACCTTGCCGCTATACGTTGCTAAGCCTTGAACGGTGATACGCGGT